TGCGTAAATACATACATACATACATAGATGCATCTGCATATGCACATGCATATGCATAGGTACACATATACCTATACACATATATACACGTATATACCTATATACACATATACACATACATACATACATGTATTACATATATCTACTATGTTTGATACATAAAAGTGTGTTGATCTATGTGTTTGCTTGCTTCATCATGTCTACTTTAGCTTGTCGTCTTTATTCCACGTTCTTTTGAAGAAGGGAGAAAGACAAGAAGGGTGGCGCCCGGCCTCCCAGGTCCCAAAGGCTAAGGCCGGCAGGGAGTCCCCGGGCCGGCACAGGAACTGCACCTCTTGGGCTTCCTAGGGCTTCCGGTCTCAGGGCCCCTTTAGGGTTCTAGGCTTGGGGTCTGGGGTTCAGGGTCGTGTAGGGTTGTTTTGGTGTAGGGTTTTGTACGGGGTCGCAGTCCTGTTGTTCCTCTTCGGCAGAGGGCATATCCGATTTGACAGGATGTCCACGGTGTTTAGGCTTCACGGATTCGGGTGTGTTGCTTTTTCCGGGTTCGTATGAGGGTTGTTGAAGGCGTTGCAACAAACTGCTTTCAATAAGGGTGTTCAGACAGAGTGTTCAGACAGAGTTGTTCGCAGGCTGTTGTAGGGCTCAGAGGCTCAGGGTTTTAAGGTTCATAAGGGCTTTAGGGCTGCAGGATTTTGGGGCCTAGGGTGCTCGGGAATTGCTACAGCTATCGGGCTGACGGTTCGGAACATGCAGGTTTTTCAGGCCGGGAGCTGAACTGCGAAAACACCCGCAACCCGCAACCACAAAAAAGACAGGGCTTCGGGACTACGGAATCACCAGTCGTACAATAGGGTACGGTATGAGATAATCAGAATAAGGAACCCACTGCCAATCCCGAAAGCCCCAAAGGAAATGGATATGCATACCCCAATGCGAGACGATGAGGCCACAGCCTGATCACTGCATCTCTAAGATTGCGGCATAGCCTTTCTGCAAAAAGAAGCTTCAATCACTGTCGAATTCGAAAAATTGTAGGGAAAGGGTGATGACAGGCGGGATATATAGCAGAAGCCTATGTACGTGCTCGCCGAAGCTTTGCTTCAAAATAGACCCGGTTTTGCTCCCACACTAAGCCCAAAGCCCTGAACCCTAAACCAGTAATGGGAGAGGTAGTGACCAGGGACCGAAATCCTGAATGGGACCTCTGCCGGCGTGGCGTTGCAGAAGGAACTCCAGCCGGTCAGCGCTTGCACCTGGGCCTGGCCGTCAATGCGTTGTAACGTTGTGGTTTTGCGCGCTTCAAAGTTTTACAAAGAGTTTTTTTGGGGGTTTAGGGGTTGTCTCGGGCTTAGCAATTTTGTTGGAGGGCGTTTGGGGTCTCAGGGTTGCACGGTTGTCGTGTTGACGGGGAAAGGGGCTTAAGGCTTTGATGGGTATAGACTTTTGATGACTTTTTGCTCTTTGGGCAGACCAGCAATAGACTCGACTGCAGGGATTGCCCCTGCATCGCGTACTTGGAAAGCAAATTCCCTGGGATGGCACCCTAAGCCCAAACCCAAAACGGAAGAAAACGAAACTCCACAACACCCTAACACCTAACATCCCAAAGTCACTTAACCCCTCAACCCTAACGATGCACGATGCAGGGTCAAGCTTCTTGAGGACTGCGGGTTTAGGGACATCTTCAGCTCAAGTCAAAGTCATAGCTCAAAGACGTCGATGTCACCCATATCCGGATCCCTTTTCGGGAACTTTGCGAGGGTAGGGTTCGGGAGCTAAGGAATGGGGCTCTCTTGATTACAGTTTAGGTCCCGGGGGCATGTTGGATTACTTTGGGTTAAGCCTTTGAGTGTTTACCTTGATTTAAGGTTCGGGTCTCTTTGGGAATTTAATGCCTGGGATGCTCACGGCTTACTTTGGATTAGGGTTTTCCTTTTTAGGGTTGCGGGCTTGTCTTTCTGCGTTTCATGTGTGATGTTCCAGTGCGATAGAGACACTCTGCTCTCATTTATCTTCAGCAGGCTTGAGGGTTGATGAGTCTCATGTTATTGCCAGAATGGGCCCCATACTCCCCTGCACTCGCACACTGACCCCGACAGCATCTCCGAGCAGGCAGAAGACCTGATGCCTGACACTGACGGACGCATGACCCTAAGTCCCAAAACCTTAAGCCTAAAAGCCGAAACCCCTCAAGCCCCGAACCCTCCACCCTGTCGCAAGCACATGTGCCCTGCCTCAGCCGCATGGACTCGGGACATGTAGGCGTCACTGATGACTTCGGGCTGAAAGTCCTCCGAGGCTTGTGACCGGCATTGTAATCTAGGTTCCCCAGCCCCTAAATAATAAGGGTAGCCTTTTTTCGACTATTTGGTTTTATTCAGGGAACCCAAAAAGAAAAGGGACAAAAGGGTACTACTGGGAAACCTAGTGATGAAAGGCTAGGGCCGGCTAGGGCATCGGGCTTACAGGGTTTCAGGGCTCTGAAGGCATAGGGCGTGTGGTCTTTAAGGTGCCTGTCAGGTTCAGGCTGTCAAACCTTGGAGGTTCAGCGCGCTTTTGCTTTAAACAGCTTTGCCCGAATCACAAACCCTGATACAGCCATCCCCTGAGCCCTAGAAATCGGAAAACAAGATCCCGACGGCCCTAAATCCCAAAGCCAGAAAGCCTGAACGGGATGCACTCGATCCCAAAAACCGGGCCTTCCTGAGCTCTGTCGTAAACATGGGGTCTTGGCCAAGAGCCAACTTTAGGCTACCATGATACGGAAAACATAGCCTTCGCTGTATGCCCCCAATCCTGGTAAACTGAAGTCCTTGGAGCTCGATTGGAACACAGGACCTCTTTCGAACCCTACAACACCCGATAAGAATCGTAACGAACAACGCTGAATATCCGTTTAGACAAAACCAAAAACCTCATACAAAAATCATACAACCCCGAGAAGCCTCACACAAAGCCCCTTACACTTAGCTCGGCGACAGGGTCCTGGAGCTTCTGCTCTTCCGAAGCGCCCATCCTCAGCCCAGAACCCCGTTCTGGTTGGGACTTGCCTTGAAGGATTTCGGGTCTAGGGCCGTCTATGCTGCACGCTTGCAGGGTTCAACGTTTGGGGTTGAGCGTTGGGGCTTGAGGTGTAAAGGCGAGGGCTTCGGGCGCAGAGTAAAGCATTTAGAGCTCGGGGGGAACACTCAGGTTTTGGATGGTACTAAAACATTCAGGCAGAACACCGCCGCACGCCGAACACCCGAAACCCCAAACTGTACCCTTGAAGCTCTGCTTGGGGGCTCAAACTCGCCCCAATAAGCACTTCTTAACAATTAGAAGAGGATCTCCAGGGTATGTTAATGTTGTAGTATAAAAGCATGCTGAAACAAGGACTATGAAGGGGACATCATCCGGGAACACCAAACATTGCTTTCACATTCTTGAACCTCTTTTCGTACTCACTCGACACATAGATGCACTCCATACTTTGACCCCGCAGCCTCAACCCAAAAGCCCAAGACCCCAACCCCTACACTTCAATCATCTTTAGTCTTTTATCTCAAAGTCTATACCTCTTGCCCAGGCACTCCCAAAAAAGCTCGATGCTGTGCCATTGTCGGGCCGCCTTGGCCGGTTCGGAAGGTTTCGGAGGTCTCGGGCTTCAGGTCACGGGTCTTGACGATATAGGGCTCCTCCGGAGCCGAATGTCTTTAATAATGGGATCCGCACGCAGCAGCAGATCATCGAAACACCGAGAAACCAGTGCCCAGACACCGAATGAAACAAAGCTCTTGATCACGTTGGCTTTGGCCACTTTGGCCCTTCAAAACCCGGAAGACATCCACTCGTTGGCAAAGTCTGGGCGCAATGGCGCTCGCATTTGCTGGTCCGAGGGGGAGCACGTGACGCAGCCCCTCAGTGCTTGCTCTCTGGTTCAGGGTTTAGGGTTCATCAGTTTACGGCGTCATATTCGATCTTTGGGGTCAGGCTTGCAGAAGTCACTGTATCCGTGAAGCCCTGGGTCTTATCTACCTATCTCCCTTCCTAACAATCTGCGTCTCTAGCTGCCTTGCTATATCACTACTGTACCTATCGATCGAGCTCGCAACACACAAGGGTAGCTTGAAGGAAGGCAGTTAGGGCAGGGGCACTCATTTAGAATGCCGCCCACGGCTAGTATAGCACGGTATAGTCTAGTCTAGTCTATTGTACTAACCTAGCCGGAGGCCCCTGCCAGCGCCGATCGACGCGCGGAGGCAAAGTAGCGGGCGTCTTGGGAGCCAGGCTTTTGCACCTTGCATACCAAGAAAGAAATAGGTTGAAATGAATATGCAATACTAGAACAAAGTACACCATAATATCATGGATGACACTACACCACATAGGGACTCAGAATAGGGGGTGTCGGGTTTGCGGATCAAGGCTATAGAGCAGAGGCTTCTTTGGTTTGGGGCTTGGGCCGTTGTTGACTTTCCAGCTGGAAAGCAAGCCCAAACTACAATTGCAGCTACCGTGCTAGGGGTACGTGGCAGAAACTATGATTTCTTGATGATGGACTTGTGGACTCATGGTAACTTAAACGAAGCCCCCTGCGGAAAATCCAGATGAGATCCGACTAACTCCACAAAAGCCGTAGTTCGATGTCCAAACTAGCCTTCGACCCATAAAACCGCACATCTCGAAAGAACACATCCCGAGAGACACCGCAAAGCCTTAGCCCCAAGCCCCAGCCGCTGTAAACCCTTAGCCCCGCAACCTCCGAAAACAGGGATCAATGCCTGCGTCCAGAGGTCAAAGGCGCCCAGCTGTACCTGGGAGTCTCTTCTTGTCAGAGGTCCCTCATGACTCCCTTATGGTTAGGAGTTCCCATAATAGCATTCGATCGGTCATTTTCGGTCGATGGATAACCGCTCAGCGCGCGATGGGTTTAGCTCTTCTTTGGGCTAAGGGTTCAGGATTTGAGAAGCTGTGCGTGAAGGGTTTCGGGCTTTCAGATTCGGCTCTGCAGGGCTTGAGTCACGAGTTTGGGATTTGGGTTCGCAACCTGTTTCATGGCAGTCGTAGCGAACATAGCAGAAATCACACAGCAGCAGTAGCTGCAGCAGCAGTTGTAGCAGTAGTCGTCGTGGTTGTCGTCGTTGTCGTCGTTGTCGTCTTCCACGTCAACTAGAAGTGGTGGAGGTGGTGTTGGTCGTGGCTGCTGCAGTTGCTGCCGCGGCGTGGAGGAACATGTCAATAACGACCACAACACGGTCCGGCCTCAGGCCCCTCCAGGCCCATGTAGATGGCTCCCGCGACAGCAAACGCCAAGGCCAGAACATAGATCTGGACGCCTTGAGACTGTAGGATTTGGCGCGTTTCTTGCGGCGTCCAGAGTGGAGGGTTTAGGGGTTGTTTACGGATTGAGGGTTTAGAATTTTAGGCTAAGGGCTTAGGTCAAGTCTCTTTACGGTATCGGTTTGCTGCAGGCGGCGTCAACTCGTGTAGACTAGAGCTTGGAGGGCATACGACAAGCTTTGCAAATAGCATTCCGAGCTATTTGGGTGCGGAAAATGTAGATTTGTGATCGATTTGTGATCGATAAGCCTCCTTTCTTTCAGGGTCTCAACGTCAGGATCCCCGTCACATCATTACTGAGGAGCATTCAGACGGTACATTCTACTATAAATCTACTAAGGCACGTTATGCTCTCTGCTTGACGCAGGACCACTTTCCCGGATTCCGAGCCCTACATGCAAAAACCCTCAGCAGAATCAGAAATTGCGCCGGGGCGACTGATGCATGAGAGGCTGCACTGGAACCTGGCTCTCATGTGGCTGGACTCCGAGGGCCAGGGCTATAGGATGGAAAAACCTTTCCGGGATCGAAGCCTGCTAGAAGACGTCGGGTGTTGAATTTGAAATATTTACAAATACCATACACCTTCACCTCTGAACCGACAGATCTAGTGCGAATGGAGATCGGGTAAAGGGTTTTGGGGGGTCGAGGGCTCTATGCATTACTTGGATGCCAGTTGGAGCTTCAGGCCTTGGCTCAGTCAGGACACGTGGGTCTGAAACATCAACGCGAAGTTCCGAAATCTAGCCGAATCTAGCCCTGAGGCTCTGAAACTGCATACCAAAATGCTGCACAAAAGCCATGCAGTCCCACGAAGCTGGATCTGCACAAGCCCAACATGCTGACAGTTCAGGGCAGCCAAAGACCATGGATCCCAACCCCCTAAACGCAAACATAAAGGACCTGTGAGAACTTCTTCGGAATTGCATCCTGAACTCTGAACCCCAGCGGTGGACCCCATGCCATAACCGTTTAACAAAACCTATGGGACTTCTGGCCAGAAGCCTCAAGCGTGGAGCCTAAAGTTGCAAGGGCGCGTTGAATGCCCAGGGTTGCTGTGCCTCGGGTTCTAACCCCACCCTGAACCACCAAAAAGGCTTAAGGCAAAGGGAAAGGAGAGGCAGCGCCACCGACAGCTGAAGCATCGGAAGGATCGCTTCAACTGCCTCGGCACCGGAAGGTTTGAATGTTTCGGGCTTATGAGATTCAAGGCACAGGATTTGGAATCCAAAGATTCGAAGTCTTAGGGTTCCTCTCAAGCCGAAACCCAGACAAGGGCTCCTCCTGGGCCACAGAGACAAAGAACACCCAGCTCGACCACCCCACTTCGCAGCAAAAGGCCCCGCACTCAACATAATAGGAGCCTTCATAGTTTGAATGGGGTTACTACACTACACTATACTATACTATACTATACTATACTATACTATACTATACTATAGTAGACTATACTTTACTATACTATGCCATACTATACTTTCCTCTACTATACCATACTATACTATACGCAAATATTCTAGACTACTACATTCATTATACGAAATTATACGGTATTGTACTCTGCTATAGTGAGTATAGTACGTATAGTACCATACCGTATAGTATAGTGAAGTAGTACAGTATAGGATGGTCTCGTATCTATAGTCACACTATGGAACAGTGGCGTATTTGTTTAGGCTTCTAGATTACAGGTTCTCGCGAACCCCAAACGACCCGAAAGTTGGCCCTGAAACCCGAAAAGCCCGGTGGGGTTTTGCAATAACGAAACCCTGATACACGCCAAGCAGCTCCCTCTGCCTCATGTTTCATGGTTCAATCGTGAGGGATCTGAGGCTCTTAGAGCCTAAGCCCTAAATCTGCAACGCGCTCCTGCGATTAACCCTCTTTTGACTTAGTGTGCAAAGCTATAGAGATTGTTGTAGGTGTTGCAGGGCATGCTATGTAAAAGGAGCCTCCAGGATTTCTGTAAACCCTAAACAATAAACCCCGCCGTACTCCCAAGGACCATGAACCAACCTACGAACCTTCACCAAATGTGTCCAAACCCCGAACCCCTAACCGCCCTGATTTAGGCATTCCATTGCTCTCGAACCTTGGAACCCTAAACCCTAGAACCAGAAACCGTCAACAACCCTACCACACTTTATTGACCCCGCAAGATCCAGCAACCCACCTCTGCGCACGCCTTGTCAGCACCTTTCGGACCTATTTTATATCTCTAAAGGCCACCGAAAAGTCTGAAGACAAGTGAACGCTCGACAAAAAACCGGGTTTAAGACAAGCAACCCTAAACCCTACACTCTGACATCTCCGAGCGTCGACTCTGACGAGATCTCCTCCTCGTCGTCGTCAAAAACGAAGCTGGCGGAACTCATCTCCTGGAGCTTGCGAAGGAAGCCGTGAAGAGTTTTTACGATCTAGGAATCTCGGCTTTTTGCTGCAAATCCGCCTGAGACAATCCGACAAAAGCTTGATAAACCCCTGCCAAACCGCTGTAAGAACCGAGAAAACTTCTACAGTCTGAATAAAGGCTGTACTAAGGGTTGCTGTTAGTGCTTGTAGGCTTCGGGCTCTGGTGGTTTGGGGTTTAAGGGCTTCGGGTCCAGGGGCACTTCTAAGGGGATGTTGAAACCTTTTGGAAGGATCCTTACATATAGTGGTCGTCTCGTGGGGCTTTTGGAAACTTTTTCTGGTAGACCGTTAGAATTTCAGGGTCGTGGGCTCAGGGGGTTTAGGACTCGAGTTGTTTGTGCTTCGGACCGAGGCTGCAAGGTTCCGGAAATCTGTGAAGCTGCGGCTTCAGGTTCTGGAGCTGCGGGGATGCGCCGAGGGGAAAAGTCTATGAAACCTATTACAAACCCCTAAACCTAGAGGACCTATAGAGTTTTCGCTACCTTGCAGCCAAATCCTAAAGGCCTTACCCGACGTGAACTTTTGGAGCAAGCACGCGCGGACACAGATGGAGCCAAGTAACTAGCCAGAACTCCGAGATCCCCGGACAACCAAGCAAAAACCCTGAAGCCTTAAACGTTTTCCAGGGTTCATGGGTCAGGGAAAGGCCTGAAGGCTTGGGACTTAAGGGTTTGGGTTTAGGGACTGCTTGGGGATGGGATACAGCGTTTCAGAGTCTAGGGTTCAGGGTTTTAGGTTTTTGGGGCTTCGGGATCCCCCATCTTCCGAGAAGCGTCGGACAGGCGAGAGTTGGCTCTCGGCAAACTGGCTGGAGGGCTTTGCGCCTCGCGGGATTGGGGATACAGGGTTCCTCTAAAGCTTTAAGGGTTCTACGGGGTTCTAGTCTAGGGGCAACAGGGAGTAGAACGGGAGGTGTTGGGGAGTAGATGATGCTATAATGCAAAGGAGTATGCATGAAAAGCCTAAGGTGTACTGCGCAGTGCTTTGGGAGTCAAGGCGTGCAGTGCAGGGCTTCGGGGGCCCTAGGACTGTCGTTTGGTTTTCAGATGCAGAGTCTAGCGACCTCTAAACTCCGACATGCTCTCTTATAGACCCAAACAAGGGGTGAAAGTAAGGAAGCCCAATAACAAGAGCAGAAAAGCACCATACAAACATGATGATATCACAGTTTTCATGGCGGGGCCCTGCTTAATGTTTCCACGGTCTTTCCAGTGGAGTCACCACAACCGCAAAAGTCAAGGGCCTAACAATGGGCAAGCACCAAAAACGCTGACATGGGTACCTGAATACTTTGACAGAGAATACGGCATCAGCTCTACTCCGTTGCGCCTGTCTCTTAAAGTGGGGAAAAGGGGCGTCTTGAAATTTGCAAGCTTGTCGTGACAACTTCGGTTCTGTTGTGGCCCCAGGAGGTTCTGGGCTTCAGGATTTCAGCATTCCCTATCGACCCTGAACCCCAACCGGCCCAAACCTCCTCGACCCTAACCCACATCGACCGTACTTCCAATTTCCGGAAGGCTCCGAAAGGCACCCGGGCCTGAGACATTTGCAACACCCTACAAATCCTGGAAGAACCCAAACCTCTGTAAATCCGTAGAATCCGATGAAGCCCTACAAACGCCGGATAGAACCCGGCTAGCGATACTACAGAAGCTGTTCTGATAATCACAACGGGGCTTGATGTTGCATTTTGATATAACTACATGGAGACTCTACGGTGATGCTATCACTTGTTTTTTCAGACCTCTATAGTATGGCTTGGGGCTTGTGAGGGCGCATTAGGGTCTTGGGATTGAGAGCCGATACGAATCTAAAGGGCCCTTAAACTCCCACAAACCCCTGTCAAACCCTCTCAAAACCCTAGAACGCCCAGAAACTCCTGCGAGTCGAGATCCGGCCTGGGACTTGTTCTTCTTCTTTCCCTTTCCATCCTCGGAAGCCACTTTAGCCGGGGATGGAAGCCGGGCAGCTTTGAGCTCAGGAGCTTTCGGATTTTGGGCTTAGGCTGCTCCAAGTTTATGTACTCCAGGAACCAAAGCTTGAAGGCTATGGATTTGCGGTTTAGGATTTCTGGGTTGAAGGCCAAGGGCGTAGGGCTTAGGACTTAGCTTGGCTTAGTGTGAAGTCGTTTACAGTTCATTGGCTTAGGATGTTTAAATGGTGGCACGACACCCTGGGCCCTAAACCCTGAAAGACCCCGATTCCAACGCAACGCACAAAAACTGGATTCCTTGCGAAGGAACCCTACAGATAGACCATCCAGCCATGGTGCAGTTTTGGATGCGCGGCCCCTGGCAAAGGCCTGCACTTGGACTATGGCGACGGCGACTAAGCTTGGATTCTCAATTTAGGGGCGGCGAAGACGTCTGCGATCTTTTGTCTTTCATCTCTTGTTTCTGCCCGAACCGTATCATGAAACACTAAACCCTAATCCCTTTCGTGTCTTCAGGGCTGCCAAGCCCTGGGCATCTGCATTCCGGTGCAATGTAAGGGTCTCAACGACAAGCATGTTATAGTATAGCCTAGCTATACCTTGATTGTGAGCACATCGGAACTGTAGGAGGACATTGCTACTGAGAATTCAGTGGAGCAGACGAAGAAGCAAAAGCCGAGCCCGAGCAGTTTAGGGTTGTTTTTGTTTAGGGTTTAGGGTACAGGGCTGAGTACTGTCACGATACCCCAAGGATGCTGGGCTTAGGCCCCTTAGGCTCGGAGGGTGGAGATTTCATCCTTCAAGGGTCTTGGGTAGGTGGGCTTAGATTAAAAGTAGAAGCTTCGTACAACGCTAAGTCCCATTTCAGCCTTACGGTCTTGCAACCTTCTTTGCAGCTATGCTTTTCTATGAAGGGGACTTGAACCCTGAAACCCCAAACCTAAAACCTGAAAACCCAAGCCCCTACCGTTGTAACACCCTTAAACCTTTGACCCCAGGCTAGTCGCTGAGATCTACAACTTTGACCCCTGAACTGCATGGTCTGGCCAACATTTGCAAGCCCATCAAGCCAAAAGAGGCCAACAAAACCTCAACACCTCTAAATATTCTGCCTGCACCTCCCAAACCGTCGAGGCACAAACCTTCAAACTCACTCTGAACCTGCGGACCGACAAAACGACCCGCATATTTCCTGACAAAGCAAAGGTAAATAAACATTCGCGTAAACAGAAACCCTGAGCCTAAACCCTAAACTCTAAAAACTGAACCTTGACCGAAAAACAGAAAAGGCAATAGTGTTACCCTTATGACCATTATTGTTACTACTACTACTACTACTACTACTACTGCTGCTGCTATTCGTATTCTTCTTAAGAAAGAAAGCGAAACAGACGGAGCTGGCCTTGGCCCGGGCCCGCAGCGCAGAACCCAGGCGCCCCCTGCTCGCGCTAGGGCTTCTACAAGCAGGGGTCTCGACAATTAGAACAGGGTTTGGGCTTTAGGGTTTAGGCTTTAGGCTTTAGGGTTGAGGGTTTAGGGTTTAGGCTTTGGATTTCGGTCTTGGTTTTGGGGTTTAGGGTCTAGGGTTTAGGGTTTAGGATGAAAGGTTTAGGGCTCCTTTACGTACACGAGCCCTAGTCTAAGGGTTAAGGCCCCGATATTATGGAAATCGTGTGGTAACCCTTGCAGTAACCCTCTTCAAGGAACCCCTGAGGGGTTCCCTCAGGCGCTCCTTGAAGGATTTTAAGATCAAGGCCTCAGGTTTGGGACCTTAATAGAACAGGGTTTGGGGAGCATGTTACAAATTATGGCATGAATCAGGCCCTTACATTGCGCATTGGGTTGAGAAGAGATCAGGATCTTTTCATTCAGGCGTTGTCGGAGTTCGTACTTTGAAGCGTTCCTCATTCGGATCAAGTTTTCTGTTATGGGTTAGTGTGCGGCTCCTTGGGATGGGATTTTGGGGTGGTCGGGGTGCTAGAGTTGCTTAAAGCTTAAGAACTCGTGTTTTTGGTCTTTGAGGGTTGTTTTGTTGCGATTGCAGTGTTCAGGGTTTGGAGAGTTAAGGTACGGTTTTGTGCTGTCCTACGGAATGAACATCCTACACGCCGAACCCCCCAATGTAAAGGATCATCACCTACCCTTCCGGAAGCTTATTAGCTGAAAGATGTCAACCCTAAGCCGGGAACCTAAAACCTCAACAGCTCAAAATCAAATCCTGGAAGATGAAACTCCGGGCACGCTCACAAGCCGAGAGCCTAGAAGCCCTCCTTATTGCCATAGTTGCTGTTATTACTTTACTGTTATTCTTAGTTCTTTCGAAAGGCTTTGGGTTTAGGACTGCTCAAAGCGAGGGCCTGCAAGGCATCGGATTCCGGCTTCCGGCACATGAGCGCACTGAGTTCGTGATCGTTGCTGCAGGGAGCCGTGGGACAGATACAGATCCCACAAACCTGGACTGGAAAACCCTGAACCCCCCCCCCCCCCCCCCCCCAACCTCAACCCTGATCCCGAAGACCTGAAAAGATCCCATTCCCAAGCCCCCGAAGTGACGAAATGAAAGCCCTTCGAAACTCAAAGCCCAAGTTCCCCGAGCAAAGTCTGAAACCCAAAACCCGCACCTCTTTTCAGCCGGCTCCTGCAAGGGCTGCTGCGAGTCTTCCACCTTGCGGCTGAAATCACCGGTGCAAGCAAGGCCTTTCCACCTTGAGGGCACGGGCTGTAAGGTCACTGGATTTGCTGCTTCAGGTTTCAGGTTCAGAGCCCGAAACCCCAAGCCCTGAACGGTATATCGAGCTCGACCCAAGTCTGAGGCTTGAGAGAAATGGTGGGTGGACCTGGTCTCTTGGGTTCCCGGCGGCTGGCATCGCCAAACTGTCGTCGAGCTGCAACTGAAGCGAGTGGTTGGGGTTTAGGGTTTAGGGTTCAGGGCTGAGACTTTAGGAACTTTAGGGCTTAGGGTTTGGGGTTTTAGGGTTGCGTCATTCGGCTTGAAAATGTTCTTGCCCGTACAGATACATGGCTTACATTTGTCGTCAGGCATACCCACCCCGACCCCACGCCACCCCGCGTTCGTAACCCCGAAACCGAAAACCGGGCCTGCACGTTGACGTCATGCTCGATGTTTTCTTCTTCTTGGAATTCCTCCTCTAGCGCAAACTCTTCGTTCACCTGCCCAGCGACAAGAGGCTGTTGCCGAGTGGGTTTAGAATCAACGCCAGTGTCGAAAATCAACCCAAACCTAAACCCAAATATTGGCTGCGTAGGTCTGATGGCGGTAGGAGCGGAACGAACACTACAAACTGCCCAAGCAGAACCTCGAATTGCTAGCACCACTCATCATATCCATCAAGGGCTCTCTTGATCAGCACCATCTTCCTCGCCCTTCCTCATTGCCATGGCATCGCCAGGACTCTCAGCGTAGCCAGCTGGTCCACCATAGGCTCAGCGCTTCGGGGCTTGGGCTTCGGACCCAGAGCCTCAGACCCGTCCAGACCAACAGGAAGGCCCAAAAGCTCTGGCCCTGACAACCCCTCAAAGCCATCATCCCGAACCCATAAAGTATGGGAATTCGTGAAAAAACCGGCGACCGGGCCTGGAGGTCTTCTGCAGGAGCTGCAGGAGGGGTGGGCAGGCGCGCCGTCTCAGCTTTTGGCGCGCCTCAAGCCGGCGTTTCAAAGAGGCCTATTAGGGGCGTTTTTTGTTTGTACGGGTCACCATCGGCTTCTCTTGTGGACGTTCAAGGGTTTGAAAAGGGTGTTCATGAGGGTTCTCTCATTGTGTTTCTAAGGATTCTGAAAGTTTTGCCAGAAATCTTTGCAGGGCCGTGTAGGGCTTCGGTTGCGGAGCTTTGTGCGATTAGCTCTGGGCCTGGAGTGGGCTCAGAGATAAAGCTTTGGAGCATGGGGCTCTCAGGTTAGTTTTTTGGCGTCGAGAGCTCGGGGATCACGATTTGCAGTTTTCAGTGTTTTGGAGTTGAAGGTTGGGGGGGGTCGTGGTCAGGATGGGGAGTGTGCGATGGAGCTTCCCCAGTATGTCTGCTTGGATGCGCTTTGGACTTGGTATGTGGGGTTAGTAAGATGGGTTGTGAAACTCGTATGTGGGGAACCTACAAGCCTGTGAGTTTCCAGAACTTGGCACGGGTCTCCGATTTGGGGTGGCACAGGGTTCTTACGCAGGCCCTCCCAAACCCTCGGATTGCCAAAGCCCTGAAACCTGAACGCAGCACAGCTCAAGACACGGGGATGGCTGGCAAAACCCTAAACTACGATACTATTGCCTGTCTTCTCCGCGAGATCTCGCTCTCACACGAGCCATGTTTCAAAAGCTGATTCCAAGATTCATCCATCACTGAATCATAACCTCCATTGCAGGCACAATAAGAAGACTAGCAAGCAAATCGGCACTTCGTTATTCCCCTCTGCACCTGCCGAAACCTAACCAAACAGAAGAAACCAAAGCACCAGGCTTAGAGATGTAGGGGTGTTGTACTGCACGCTGCTGGAGAATTCGGAATTTCCCCTTGGCGTGCCTTGCGATGTTTCTGACTGCTCCTCCTGCAAGCAGAAAGAAGAAACAGTGTGAGGGAAAAACATCAAGTTCCAACAACCCAGATCAGCTCTTTAGAGCCACGCGGTCTTGATATAGGGCTGTAGATCGGAATTGAGAATGCGTGGCTTCAGGCATCCGTTTAGGGGTTTCGGATTCAGGGGCTAGGGTGCTCGCAGTGCTCGCTTAGGCCAGCGCGCTCAAAACCCGACATTAGGCCAGCGCGCTTAAAGCCCGACAAAGAAAAAACCCACTTGAAAAAGGCACTCGTGCAACAATGACAAAAGCAGTGCTGAAGCGCGAAAGAGGTGCGGACGGGCTGCGAGCGTCCGGGGTGCGGCCGGGGTACGAACGGGCTGCGGACAGGGAGAAGGCTGCGTGCGAACGAGCGTGGGGTGCGGAGAGGGCGAGGACTGGGTGCGGGGCAGCGTGGGACGGTGCGGAAGGGGTGGACATACTGATATGCACACAGTTATATATATATATATATATATATACACTTCCATCTATATGACACTCGCACATGGACATACTCATATTATATATATATATATATACAAGTATGTGTGTGTACACAGTTACATACGCATATCCATATAACTGTATAATCTAGCAGTAGCCACGAAAAATGTTTGTCGCTACGCTGGGACTACTTGTCACTAGGTCTTCTTTGCTGGCGTGGTGTAAGCCCACACTCGCCTGTGCTGTGGCAGTTTTTCAATTTGAGGTTTTCATCTGGGCTTTCGGGAGTTGTTCCCCCGCATGCGGTTGAACTCGAATCCACGGGCCGTCGGAGGACGCGAATGTGAAATCCAATCGCAGGCGCACGGTGGCCTTGCTGCACAAGGCGGAGGTGGAGTTCAGGATCTGCATAGCAAAGTAGTTAGAACTCAGTCCTCCAAAAGCTCACGGAGGGTGGCAACAAATTGAGCCTTGGCAAAGAGTCAGAGTTTGTGTTTGTGTGCTTGGATTTAGGGATGAGAGGGATGAGGTTTACTGATATGGGTGTTGACGAGGGTTCATCTTGGACTTGAGTGGTGAAACATTAACACAGCAGGTTGCACGCAGCTTACGAGTTTAGCGTGCAAGACTTTGGGGCAATTAGTTATAGAGTCTTGTTGGGGCTTCCGTCTCAGGGCTTTAGAACCCAAGGCTTGCGGGATTTACGGCTTTGGACAATGCTACAACCAAACCAAAACCCCTACATACCTAACATACCTTTAAACCCAGAACAGCACTAACACGTGGAGAACTCTGTGTTGGAGCTTAATCTAGCACTCTTTCAAAGCCTCGCAAGCAGCTTCGAAGCTGCACAAACTTCCACGCCCAACACTAAGGAGGTGCTTCGGCATTGGCGGCAGCCCATAGCCTTGAAAACCTTTAAGTTCAACCTGCAACTGAAGCATTCCACGAACCCGAGTCCCTTCAGCCATTCACAACCAACCCTCATTCGGAGAAATGCCGATCTGCAAGGCTGACAGTTTGATGCTTTCTTCTCTCGGCCGACAGAGCTGCTCTATGGCTCGCCCGCCCTCCACCCAGATGTAGAAGGAAAAAACATCGACAAAAACAAGCACATCCAAAACCTCAACCACCAAACCCTCAGCAGCGCTGCAAGCGAGGTGCGCGTCCAGGTGCATCGTCATACTCGTCATCCGGCCTGTTGGGGAGCATGAGGATGAGGATGAGGATGGGGATGAGGATGATGATGAGGATGATAAGGAGGAGGAGGAGGAGGAGGAGGATGAGGAGGATGAGGATGATGAGGAGGATGATGAGGATAAGGATGATGGTGATGGCGACGACGATGACGATAACGATGGCGACGGTTGCGAGGACATGGTCGTGGCAATGATGACACGAATGGAAATTGCGACGACGTCGGCCAGGACAATGCTGCTGATGATGATCGGTGGTGATGGTGACTAACATTAATCCTCTCCGCTGCGGCGCAGTTACTAATCGCACTCTTCTTGCGGTTGCTACCACTATGGTGTGCTCTTGTTAAACCGCTGTTCAATACTGTCGTCATTGTCCTCATGCACATGGTGGCGGATTGCGAGTCTTATCAGTCTTATCATGTGCCAACACCGTGGCTCGACGCGAGATGATTGACGACATGATTGAGCTGGCGTCGAAAATCTTCAAAACCTCACGGTTCTTATGGGGCTCGGGGTTTTGCATATTTGGCAAGTGGAATACACTCCATTCCAGACA